TACTTTTGCGTACTGGTTTCAGATCCTTTTTATTTTTGCCTCCTTTCTATTTCTGTCTAGATCCAGTGACCCAGCTCGGCGACTGGAATAAGCTCACTGCCTGCAGTTGCGACTCCCAATGCTCTCCCAGTCTCGGTGGTGATGACCACTGTCATCCCAGGCTCCTTTTCACTGCCACCCAGCAGCCACCCTCTTTCTCCCTCCTGTCCTGCGTCCCCAATTCTGCTGTTCAGGCTTTCCTTGTTGCCACCTGGTGGGCAAATCGCTGCAAAAACATCACACCCCTGTACCCGCTTCTCAACACGGAGACTGAGATCGCAATCATGTTGGCAAAGTCGGAGGCCTGTGGGTTCGGTAAGTCTGCCCTTACTGAGCTGTCGAATAATGCCAAGAGCCTTTCTGTTCATCGTTGTATTCTCCGTTATCTGCCTTCTTTTGTGATAGTATGTAAATTTCTGAAGCATCTTTTCAGCGCAAAAGAATTTCACAACAACTCAGAGGGGTTTTTCATGGGCGAGTTATACTTCATTGGCCTCTTCCTTTTCAGTCAGTTCTGTCTGTTGAATATATCTACTTGCATATGCTTCTTCTCATGGTTTAAGACAATCTCATATCTCCATAATGAATGGTATTATGTCCTATTATTCGGCCTGTGCCACGCGAAAACGTCTTGCCTTCTGCAACTTCCATGACTTTTTGGTAACTTAGACTCACTCGTCAATTCTGAAATGTTGGAACTTGTGGTTGAATTTACCTGGGATCCTACTATTCGCCTCTGTTCTGGCTTGCCCCGTAGCGGAATTCTGTCTTCCCTTTCAAATCTGAGGATCCAGTTCACGGCTTCCTGTCTGTTTTTACTTTTTATATTTTTTATGTCTTTTGGCTGTGGTTGCCTCCCTTTTTACCAATTTTCGCGATTTATCTCTGTCATTTTGCAGTTCTCCACTTGGACATTCTCCTGGACTGTCAGACTAAACTGCAGAAGGCCCTTGTTCAGCTCGAGCGCCTAGCTCATCGGCTGGTTGGCTGCGAATTCCAGTTGGATTCCCCGCGTGAAGTTGCCAATGTAACTTACTGTCCTTGCGTTCTCCTGTGTTTCTTTTGTTTGTACCACCAGATGTTTTGTCGGGTGTCTATCCCTGGGGCATGCAAACTCAATCTCTGCTCTTTTTCCGCCCCTTTACAGTCGGAAGGGAGGGACTACCTTACTTTTCCGACCCTCTAAACAGCAGCTTTAGATGGCTCAATTGTTTTGTACTTTTATTAGATCGAAATCAAATTGGGGCGTCTGACGCAAACGCTCCTTA